CATGCACGGAGAGAACATGCAAACTCCACCCAGAAAGGCCCCCGGACCAGGATTTGAACCAGGGACCTGCTCGCTGAGAGGCAGCAGCTCTACCAGTTGTGCTGCCCTGACCAAAAACCATTTTCTTATAATTCTTTAAAATTCTGAAAGCTGTCCAGGAGCAAATTATTCCCAAAGCGTGATACCATCACCACACATCAGATGCAATGTTTTCTGTCTTCAGAGTGCAGTACTCTTCATTTAAACACAAAATAGTTTTGGTATCATCTGCAAATGAACAATAAAAATAAAAGCCATGAGATTCCCTCCAATAAAAATCCTCAACAGACAAAATAGTTTAATCGTTAAACATTCTGCTTGCAGCCTTGCTCTCGTGCTCCTTGCCGTTCTGTTTGGTCGAGGACACATGTCAGTAACAGTAGCTATTGTGAAAAACTTTTAGTTGGTTATGTTTCACAGACCTCATTTTTTACTTGGACACATCTGTCTTGAAGTACTTTGTGCTTGGTGAACTCGTTTCGAAAGGGTAACAGTGGACTTGAACTGATTCGTAAATGCTCTGTGTAAAGTTTGCAGAGATGATGTACATGTTTACAACCCTATGGATATGAACTGATCTTAATGAACTTACAAATATCTTGCTGTAACATATGAGCAAAATAATTTCATACAGAATTAACAACTTCAACCTTAGTGGCGGTTCTGTTCCATTAAATTCAAAACATCTCCCTCACAGCTTCAGCTTCCAATTAAAAGCTACAGTCCAGAGGTTAATTCAGTCCTTAAAGCTGTCAAAAATGTGTGTCATGTTTTCATTATTACAAATACTTTGGTTGACTTGGTTTCAAATATTCAAGTTTAGAACGCTTTCAAAATCAATTTATGCCTAAATGCATTTCATAAATTTGCAAGCACCAATGTGTTTATAGTGGAGTGCTCTCACTTTGAAGTATTGCCCCTCAGAAAGTAATAAATAAAAGTCAATTTCACAGAGATTGAAGTCGCCATTTGGACTGAAGCCTCAGTCTGTTTCTGCATAATATTACTATACCATCAACTAATATTTCCGCACTGGAAGCTTTTTGATGGTTTGTGGCGTGTCAGTCAAATCTGACTGGCAGGAGTTCTGCGTACTGCCCTTCTTTTCGACACACAGAGACATTTTGCTCGCAATTGTTTTCATTTAAAAACAACTTTGTTTGGGATATAATCAAGTACAATTGTGTTCTTTTGTCAAATAATGCAACATTTTCAGCAACAAATTGTAAACTGTTACAACTGTTAATAACTTTCACAATAACACCCAATAAATGCATGTGCATAAATTCATATCCAATCACATTCATACAGAATGCGACACAATAAAAACCCCATACATTGTGCAGAAATATATGGCAGATGTGGCAAAATGCTGTAAAGCAAGCCACACTGTAGTCAGCCAGAGTTGCAGCTTATCTCAGCAGTCCAAGTCTGTTACATTAGCCCGAGCAGTCAGTAATGAATAGCCTCCAGGGTGAACAGATTAGCCGTTCATTAACGTATTCTGCTTCTCCGTGATACACAGGAAGGTGAGACCACTTCCGACTCCTGTGTCCCATGAGTCATACAGCAGGGGTAAAGATGATAGATGACTATGTGGCACCTGCAGATAAAATAAGACTTTATGTGACCCCTCTGAATCCACATGACAGGGTCATTTTTTAAAGCTCATGGAGAGGTGTTAAACCTCACCTGTCTTGAGGAGCACGCCTACAAATCCTGAATGAATCGATTGGCCTAGGCCATCTCAGATCTTCCTTCCAGCTCCCCATCTCCCCAGAGGTCTGATTTAGAGGTGGCCTTCTGCTGGTGTCCACAGTCAAGGAGCTTGTCTGCTCCTCTCTTTGTTTTATTGCCATCAAAGCTTTCTCTAGAGAGAACTGAATGGCATGCAAAATTATATGTCAAAGATTATTTACCGAGAGGCTGACAGACCAGGATCGAGAATACAATTTCTACCATATTTTACTGGGTCTTAAAATGAGATGAATAACGTTTTTTTTTTTAAAGGCATCCTAAAGATGCAATACAATCAAAGTGAAGAAGTAATAATCACTGACCCAGAACACATGGATGGCCCTTTTTGTGTAAAATAAATACAAATAAATCAACTAAACTGATCTTATTTGTCACTGTAAGGTCATTTTCATGCACACAGTTTACTGACCTGCCCCCACATGAGGAAATTAATTCTTTCAGCTTTAAATTAGATTTTAATGTCCGTTGATATGTTTGTCTAAAAGCTCATTGACAAGAGTCCAATCTCAACAAAGCTAAGTGAATTCTGTCAATCTGAGGCTTCCTTCATTGTCTCAAGGAAGAGCTGGATGTTCAGACGTAATCTGTAAAATCTACAATAAATGGTAAACTAGTCTGACATGCGATTTAGTAGTTGTGGCTCAGGACTAAGATTTCCACTGGAAAATTTCACCTTTCAAATGAACTGTGAATGTCCATCCATCCATCCATTATCTTTACCCGCTTCTTCCATTTTGGGTCACGGGGGTCGCCGGTGCCCATGTCCAGCAATCACTGTACGAAGGGCGGGGTACACCCTGGATGGGTCGCAAGTCCATCACAGGGACACATAGAGACAAA